GAAAAGTGTTCTTTCACTGATGCTCAATAGTGAGGATTTATACTGAGTCACAGAGGGCTAGAGTCTAGAACTGCAAGGGCACTTAGCGATGATCAGATATGACCCCCTTCCTCTATAGATGGAGAAAGTGAGACATTGCACAGTTAAGTGGCCCCAGGTTACTCATTTGTATTGGTGTAAGGAGCTTTCTTGCTGAATTCTATCTTTTTATGTTGGGTTGTTCTCAGTTTCTTGCTGATTGAAGGGTGAAGTTCTATAGGCCCAAAGGACCATGGCCATTTAACAATAAAGGCAGATTCCCTTAAGAATGAAACATCCTGGCCACATACTGAAAAGTGTAGTAGTATGGTGAGCAGGGCATGGGTGGTGGAGGCAGATTCCTAATTCTACCATTTTCTACATGGGTGTCATTAAGTCAGTTTTTTTAATTATTAAATCATAGCTGTGTACATTAATGCATTTATGGGGTACAACGTGTTGATTTTATATACAATTTGAAATATTTAAAAGTGGTTAACATAGCCTTCATGGCATTTTCTTAGTTATTGTGTTAAGACATTTATATTCCATACTTAGTAAGATTTGACGTGTACCCTTGTAAAACACGCCATAGGTGTGGTCTGACCGATTTCCCTCCCTCCACCCATACTTCCCCTTCCTCATCCTTCCCCCTTCTCTTTCCCCTTCATTCTGAGTTGTATTTGGGTTGTAGCTTTCATATGGAAGTGTGGGTGCTTATATGTTAGTTTCATAGTAGAGCTGAGTACATTGGGTACTTTTTCTTCCATTTTTGAGATACTTTGCTAAGAATATGTTCCAGCTCCATCCATGTAAACATAAAAGAGGTAAAATCTCCATCTTTTTAAAGGCTGTATAATATTCCCATTAAGCCAGTTTTAAAGTCTTAAAAAATGATTTTTAACTGGCACATAATAATTGTATATATTTAGGATGTACCTAGTGATATTTTGATACATCATCAGATCAGCATACCCCAAAGAAATATTTACCATTTTTTTGAGTTGATAATGTTCAGTATCCTCTCTTCTAGCTATTTGAATATATGTGATTTAAACTATCAGCATTCTATGGAGGAATGGGATGCTAGAACTTATTCCTCTTGTCTAGCTGTAATTTTGTATCCTTTAACAAATCTCTCCCTAGGCCTCCTTCCCTCCCTATCCTCTAATAACTTCTACGATACTTTTTACTTCTATGAGATCAGCCTTTTTTAGCTTTTGCCTGTGAGTACCTGATGCCACATTTCACTTTCTGTTTCTGGCTATGTTGCTTAACATAAGGTCCTCTAATTCCATCTATGTTGCTGCAAATGACAGGATTTCATTTTTTATGGCTGAACAATATTCCTTTGTGTATATACACCATATTGTCTTTATCCACTCATCTGCTCTTGGACCCTTGGGTTGATTCTATATCTTGGCTATTAGTGCTGCAATAAACATGGGGGTGCAACTATCTCTTTGATATACTATTTCCCCCCCTTCCCCCATGATAGTTCTATCTGTAGTTTTTTTGAGGAACATCCATTCTGATCTCCTTAGTGGCTAGGCTAATGTGCATTCCCACCAGCAGTGTATAAGAGTTCCCTTTCCTTCACATCCTTACCAGCATTTGTTATCTTTTGTCCTTTTGATACTCGCTTCTCTGTCCTGAGTGACATGCTATCTATCTCATTGTAGTTTTGATTTGGATTTCCCTAGTGATTAGTGATGTGGAACATTTTCTCATATATTTGACTATTATGTTTGTGTGTCTTCTTTTGAGAAATGTCTGTTCATATCATTTGCCCATTTTCAATCAGAAAGTATTCGCCTTTTAGCCATTAAGGTGTTTGAGTTCCTTATATATTCTGGAGCATGTTTTCTTGAAGATTAAATTAGACAGTGTAAAGAAAGGATCTGTTATAAGCAGATATGTAATTAATGTAAATTCCTTGATATCACCCCCATGGAATCTTTATCCATTGTATGAAGTGCATTTCTGCTGGGGGTCTATTCTCTGCAGCAGCTCCATGGGGAGCAGGGCATATGGCAGCAAGGGGTCTGGTCCTCCAGAGGACTTTAAAAATTTTTTAGCATCAGAATTTCTTCCTAGTTGGTCCCAGTTTCCTTTATACTTGGGATAGAATTTCTAAAGAAGAACTTTGGGAACTGAATATAGTGGTTTCACTAGATTATTTTTATAAGGTACCCACAGAATCACCCTAGTCTGGTCCAACATTGTGAATTGTTTTTCAGTTGCTGTAGGACCCCCAGGTTGCAGGACACATAACCAGATGAACTAGCTATGCCTAATTTAGAGCATAGCAGAACAGGTTGGAACAAAAAAGTTGGCCATACGTAGAACCTAAACACTTAGATCAAGGAATGGGGACTGAATTAAGCAGTGAGCCTCAGCATTACCTCATGGGATGGTCTGATTAGACCACTTCAGGGCTTGATCCAGTTAGATCACAATTCTGACATCACCTCACTGTGTGATCTAATCCGATCAGGCTTCATTACACTCTGCCTGTCAAACCTGCCCCTTGACTCCAACTCCAGGGGACAGACATTGCCTTCTGTTGCCTTGTAGTCAACTCACAACAAAGCCTTTCTGTTTTCAAAAAGTGGTGCCATGATATTACCTTCTGGGACTGTTGTGCAGCGAGCCCATTGCTTACTTGCCCAGTAACAACAATAACACCTTTCACTTTGCTTCCAAGAACTGTAACAAGAATATTCTTCATTCACTTCGCTTTCATCAGTAGCCTCTCAGACATAGGAGGTAGCCTCTATCGGTGTACCCTTGGCATTTAATTCATTTATAATCTGTTCACTTGTATACTATGTATTATTTTGAAGGGGCTCAACTTTCTCAAGTTTTGTATGTTTCTTCTGTTCTCTCAGACAGAATTGGAGGGAACACAAGTCATCTGGTATATATTTTATTTATTTACCTTCCTTGGGGAAGTACAAGTTAAGGTATCTTATGTACTCGATTTAGAAATACCTGTGCAAGACACTAAGAATGTCTAAGAAACGCCAAGCAAGTTCTTGCCAATTCACTTAGAGTCCCATTTGAATTCTAGACTGACATAGGTTTCTCTGAACATACTCGTGGTAGAATTTTTCCTAGTAGAAAAAGACAAAGATGGTCATTGCTAAAGAAGCAAAGGTACTTAGATTCCACACCCAGAGAATAAAACCATAGGGCCTGGATGTGAGAAACACTCATTTGTTTTCATTCTTTCACTGGCCCATTTGCTTGTTCCTTTCTTCTATTTTAAATGAAATATTTAGCACCTTCTGTATGAAAAACATCATGGCTACTGTAGAGAACAGAGAAATGAATCAATTGTAGATATCAAGTAAGTCCCATGGGAAGCTGAGACTTTAGACTTCTCTGCATTTTTGTCAAAAAAGAACACAACACTTTACCCTTTTTCTTGAAAGTGCTGTTTCCATACAGATGGGCTCATATAATAGGAATAACTTTACCCCTAAATAGGCAGTCTTATCTCACTAAAAAAGGTGATGCATTGTACGTGTTAATTTTCTTTAACAATGACATCATTTGGCCTTCCCCTGCCATCATGTCTAATAAGGTGGCTGTGCTGGAGTCTGTACCGATAAAATGGTCACAGAGCTGGTTCCACTGGCCAGTAATTCAGGGAGATAACAACTGGTAATATTCGCTTTCATCTCTTAGAATGAATTTTAGCATCCCAATATTTGATGACAAATAGTCATAAAATGTGACATACAAGTAGTATAATACTAGTTGGGAAAATTAAAAATCATCGAAAGCCAAAATAAAAATTATAATCTGTAACCCAGAGATAAGAAAAACTACTATTTGGTAAAGCTTTTATACAATTGTATACATTTTGTACATATATATTTTTTAAAGTTTTTTTTGTTGTTGTTGAGAGGGTGTCTCACTGTGTTGCCCAGGCTGATCTTGAACTACTGGCCTCAAGTGATCCTCTTGCCTCAACCTCCCAAAGTGCTAGAATTACAGGTCTGAGCCACTGCTCCCAGCCCATAAATATTGATTTATAAATATGAAACATCATTATTTAAAATGATTTAAAAAGTAATCTGAATACATAATGAAAACAAATACTGAATGGCATGAAATAAAAATTTAGTCCTCTGTCCAACACCATCCCCTCATTCTACTTTCTATATACAGGAGTGCTTGACAATTTCTATTTTTATTTTTCTGATGACTCCTTTCATAACTCTAAAAATAATCTTATAACCCATCTTTCATTTCTCAGTGGATTCCCACACTATGGAAAAAAGCTTACATACAGTAATAGGTAACTCCCCTCTAATTTCCAAATTATAGTTAAAAATATATTCTATTAGCTTACTGTTATAATTTTAAATGATAAATCTCTTTTTCTTGATAAAATAACCTTAAATCTCTTGATTCTTGATTAGGTAAAACGTATAAATGTGTATCTTTAGCAATCCTTCCTCTTTTCTTCTCTCCACTCCTTATTGTGTTAATTTGTTCAAGGCTAAACAGGCGCCCACAAGGAGTGCCATTCATTCATAGTAATAGGTTCTTGTAGCTACTACTGTGAAGTCTCTTGTGAAAGGGTTTCATTTTATAGTTCACACACAGATACAGTTTAGGCTAAGAAGAAACAAGATTGATACATTTTATACATTATTTTCTGCATTTGTAATTAAGTGTTTTGCCCTTATGTCTATTCTAAAACATGAAAACCAACAAAATGACTACTCTGCATATTTACTCACTGGAGAACTATACAATGTGATATCGTCCTTCTGGAAATGGAGACTCCTCTGTGACTCAAGCTCTGATGCTTAGATGGGGAACTAAGTATAAAGGTCAAAAGAATTGTCTTGTCTTACATACCTTCACTTAGCTCAAAGTTGTGTTATGTTTCAGTTTCTTTCATTGTATTTTTTTCTTAAACTTTTTTCATTAACATGTAATTTACATATGGTAATTTTAAATTGCCTGGGTAGGGGTGGAGGTGCTGTAATACCAGGTTGATGCAAGGACTGGGGATGGGGCAAGCTCCAGCTCCATCTTTCTATTCCAAAAATCCATTTAATATGTTGTCCTTGAATAGAGGACATATCAGATATTAAACTGGCAAGAACAGATACTGTAGTGGATCTTAGCCAACAGGCTGAGAAGCAATAATTTTGTGAGTTTTTATTAACTTATTTGTCTCCGTAATATGACCCAAATCAAGAGAAGTAACTTTCATTACTCCCCCAAATTTGTGACCTTCTATAGTCTGTCCCTCTCCCATCCTCAGCGCCTAGTAATCAGTGATCTGTGTTCTATCCTTATGGTTGTGCTTTGTGAAATCATATTATATATAACCTTTTGACTGTGGCTTCTATCACTTATCATTATGCATTTGAGATTCATCCATTTTGTTAATTGAGTCAATAGTTTTGGTTGTTTTAGTTTTCCGAGTAATATTGTTTTTGTTGTACCAAACTTTTTCTTATCTATTTACAAGTTGAAAGATACTTGAGTTTGGATTTTTTTTATCATTTTGAATAAAGCTGTTATGGGAATTCATGTGTAAGTATTTATGTGGACAAATGCTTTCGTTTCTCTTGGGTAAATTGAGGTTGATGGTTTGTATGATGTGTAATATTTACAGTAAGTTGCCTGATTATTGTCCAAAGTGGTTGTATCATTTTGCATCTCCAATGCTAATTTTTTTTTTTTTTTTTTTTGGTGAGACAAAGTCTCAAGCTGTCACCCTGGGTAAAGGGCTGTGGCGCCACAGCTCACAGCAACTTCAAACTCTTCAGCTTAAGTATTTCTCTTGCCTCAGCCTCCCAAATAGCTAGGACTACAGACACCTACCACAACGCCAGGCTATTTTTTTGATGCAGTTGTCATTGTTGTTCAGCAGACCTGGGCCAGACTTGAACCCTCCATCTTCAGTGTATGTGGCCGGTGCCCTATTCATTGACCTATGGGTGCTGAGCCTCCAATGCAAATTCTTAGGCGAGTTGAAGTTTTATAACTTTCCTAGCAATTAGTATTGTCCCCTTTTTTCAATTTTGGCCATTCTAATATGTATGAAGTGCTAGCTTATGGTTTTAATTTATTTCTTCAATGATGAATAAGATTAAACATATTTTTATGTGTTTATTGGACATTATCTTATATTTCATTTGAAGTCTCAAAATCTTTCTCTTTTTGGTGAGGGTTCTTTGTTTTCTTATTATTGAATGAGTTTTGAGAGGTCTTTATATATTTTGGACACAAGTCCTTTATCAGATATGTGGTTTGTAAATATATATAGTGTTTTCTTCTAGTTTTTCGTTGTCTTCATAATGTTTTTTGAATAGCAGAGGTTCTTAATTTTGAAGTTCAGTTTATCAATTTTTTTTATGGATCATGTTTTAGAGTTTGAAAAAATCAATTTTGTATATAGTATTAAGTATAGAATTGAGTTTTTTTAAAAAAAGAATATGTAATTGTGGTAGCACCATTTGTTAAAAAGACTGTTCTTTCTCCATTAAATTTGCCTTTGTTGAAAATCAATTGATCATATGTGTGTGACTCTATTTCTATATTCTCTATTCTGTTTCCTAAATCTATTTTTAAGGGTTTATGTCCATACCAATAATTTTTAAAAAATTCTAACTGTTCATGGACAGCACAAAGATATGACTGATCTTTCTATACTTAGTTTGTATTTTCTGATCTTGCTAAATTCACTTATGAGTTCTGATAGCTTTTTTATTCTTCGGAATGTTCTTCATTTGTAAGTAAGGACAGTTTTGTTTCTTTGCAATCTTTTATTTCTTATTGCACTGGCTAACTTCAGTGTTAAGTTGAATAGGAGTGGTGAGAGTGGGCTTTCTTTCCTTGTTTCAGAGAGTAGGGTAAAGTATTCACTCTTACACCATTAAGTAGATATTAGCTTCTTATTGGCTATTACTAGGATTTCTGTAGATGTTTTTGTCCTGTTATCTCCTTTTATTCTAGATTTATGAATGTTTTCTTTTGAAATCATGAACAGTTTTGGATTTTATCAACTATATTTTCTACATCTATTGTGATGATCCTATTTTTCTTCTTTAAAGTCTTGATATTCCAACTTACAATGATTTTTAAATGTTTATAGCCTTGTATTACCAGGGTATACCATATTTAGTCATGAAAAGTTTATTTACTTTTTGATATTGTTGGATTGATTTGAAAATGTTGTTAAATTAGTTTCTGTGTTCATGACGGTATAGTTTACTATAGTTTTCTTATAATTTCTTTCCCTGCTTTTTATATTAAAAAGTATTCATTTCAGAATGAATTGGCAAATATCTGTCTATCATCTTCGGTTTTATGAAAGAGTCTGTGTAAATTTGGTAGGTAGTATTTCTTTCTTAAATGTTTGGTAGTATTATTGGTAAAGCTATCTGAACCTGGAATTTTCTTTATGAGAAAGTTTTTAACTACACTTTCAATTTTTTTGTAATAGATGTAAGAGCTATTCAGGTTATCTATTTCTTCTTGATTAAACTTTCATGATTTTTATCTTCATATGAAATTTTTCATTTAGTCTAAGTTGTTACATTTACTGTCCTAAAGTTTCCATGATATTCCCCTTTGTCCCTGCAATGCCTGTGGACTTTGGTGGAACCTTTCTACTGACTGATATTGGTAATTTGGTCAGTTTGGCTAGAGTTTTATCCATTGTTCTTTTCAAAAAAAAAAAATCAATCTCTGGCTTCATTAATTTTCTATACTGTTTTTCTATGTTTTATAACATTATTCTTCTTTCTTTTGCTTATTTTGCATTTAATTTGCTCTTATTTTTCTAGTTTTTTTTCCAAATTTGGGATAGGGTGCAGTGGCATTATCACAGCTTACTGCAACCTTAAATACCTGTTCTCAAGAAATTCTTCTGCTTGCCCCAGTTCCCTGAGTAGGCAGGACTATAGGTGTGCAATGCCATGCCTGGCTAATTTTTAAACTTTTTATAGAGATGAGATCTTGCTGTGTTGCTCAGGTTGGTCTCTAAACTCTGGCCTCAGATGAACCTACCACTTTGGCCCCCCACATTTAGGTTTTTTAGAAAAATTCTTCCTCATAGGAACAATGCTCTGACGAGCATTCTTATCCTTAGCTACTTAATTATAACAGCAAACTCTCTTGCAGCGATTAATATGTACCAGTCTATGTACTTTACGTATATCAACTTATTCCTAAAATAACCTCAGGAGGTTGTTTACTATTGTTACGCCTGTTTTACAGATGAGGAAACTGAGGCACAGGTACATTAACTGCCTGGCACAAAGACAGTTTATAAATAGCAAAGTTAGGATTTGAACTCATTCAGTTTGGCTCCTGAGTCCCTGCTCTTAACCCCTGTGCTGTTATTTTCTTAACATAAATCTCTGGAGTTGGAATTGAGGGGACTCAAAAAAGGGATCCCATTTTTATTAAAAAAAGAAAGTACTCCGAGTAATTATTTGCTTGGCACTTAGGAAGCAGAACTATAGCAGTGATATAATCTGAGGGTTTTACGTTTCATGATGAAAATCCAGAGACTGGCTTAAGGGTGGCTCAGAGGGATTCTAGGTGCCAGAGGACCATCTCTGAGAGTTGAAGGAATCCTATCCATTTATAATTCTGCAGTGCTGCAGAGGAAAATTGCTTTCTCTGCCAGCAAAAGTCAATTTTATCATCTCTGCCTTGTAGGGAGCTTTATGTTGTCCGGTCTATTCCTTAGAGAGAGAGGAAAAAATAAGCAGAATAAAAAATGAAGTTAGCTGTGGTCTTGCAATTGCACCATGCTGAAAGTGGCATTTGGAATACATCATCTGAGCTCAAGCTTGTAAATGTCTTTTTAAAAGTGTAACTCCCTATTTGTTTAAAAAAAGGCTAATGTTTTTAGAGAAGTTGAAGTAGGGAAGGGGTATTAACATACAAAAGCCAGAGGACTGTTAAAACCCATTGCTAGTGATCTGATGTTTATACTGACATTATATGGTCATTTAAAGAAAGCTTATTGCTGAACAGAAGCTGAATTTGCCTGTTAATAGGAGGAGGAATGGAGGAAGTTTTGAATGATTATTATTTATTCATTACAATTTCTGCTGCCAGACTTCTGCATTCCAAGGGAGGAAACATTCAGAAGCTGCTGGTGTAAAGAACGCAGCAATTATTTAAAAATTTTTGCCATTACATTTTGATATCCGCCAATTGGTAGCAGTAGAATGTTACTAAAGCTGAAGGAACAGGAAATAGTCAGTATATTTCAACAATTAAATAGCCACTTGGAAGGGTTAGTGTTTAAAAAATATGCAAATTATGTAAGATTCCCAAGAAAGTATACTTCGGAGGAAGCAGTCATGACCTAAAATGCTATCACTAGCCTCAATCTTATCCTTAGTTGCTGAGTTGCAACTATAATTCTGCATATATGTGTAGAACCTATTTTGTGTGTGTGTGTGATTCTTTCCAGAGATGTGCATGGGAATAGAGAGAAGAGAGCATCAGATATTCTTGATAACTGAAAGGAGAGGATGAGCTTTATTTTGCAGGCCAGACTTACCAAAGTGATAATGCCAGTGATACCACATGTTGGGATTCTCAGCATCATTTCCCCTTTTCATGGATTTCTGTCTCCATCGCCCCTTTTAACATGGACACTGACCTCTATCAGAAAGCATGGATCCATACTTCCCTAAATAGCGAAATGAATCTCAATTTAGTACTTCCTTGGGATATTTTAAACCCAATAACAAAATAGGAAGCCCTCTTAAAACCAGTTGAAAACAAAATTTGGGGGAGAAGAAGTTGGCGCACTAAATGTCAAGATTTATCTTTATATATGATGTTGTGTATTGGTACAGACACAGACGAGTAGAGCAATGGAATTTAATAAATCCATGAACAGACCTGTACCTGCAGGAAAACTTGCTATGTAACAAACGGTATTCCAAAGGCATACACAGCAGACACAGAGCCAAATGAAGATCTGAATTCAGAAAACAGAATTTAGAATAAAATAGGAGCCCAGCTTTATGACTTTAGGATAGAGAAAATCCCCCCACATACACACCAAAAGTATAATTCAGGGCAGACAATATTAGATGACTTCAGGCACATCCAAAACATACATAATCAAAATCAAAAGGTAAGGCACAAACTAAGATGTAATAC